ATGGCAATGGACTTAAAGCCTCCTCAATATTATGTTAGTCACAGCAACTAGCTGCTATTCTCCATACTCCTCACTCTATAATACAACTGAAGGCAAAAGAATTCATAGGAAAGCTAAGGCACAATACTTACCTCTCCTGCAAGCTGCTGGAACATATTCCTGAAATTTTCATCTACATCATCCTCAGATATTTCTTCCTGAAGAAACAAAAAATAGGACCTGATTAAGCCATCCACGTACTACTTTTGGGCAAGGGCCCATTAGATGTAATGTGTAGGAGGCACAAAGAGTAACCTGCCTCATCTATATGCTCCTTACTTCCCAAATGCTGGCTATGATCCCGTGATTAATTCAAGTCCCTCGAATGTGTTAGAGAGCAGTTTGATCTAGTGGTTAAGGCTCCAGGCTTAAAAACCAGGCACCAGTGAGTTCTAGTCCTGCCTTAGACATGAAAGTTGGCTGGGTGACTTGGGGCCAGTTCACATAATCGGACTCAGGTGACAAGTCAATTAGTTAATTCCTATTGCAACCATTGGAGCAACACTCAGTTGATTTAAGAAAAGCAGATCCTGACTTGTGGAAAAATGCTAGGAAGAAAAAACAAGTCAGGAAATCCAGACAGCCAAGGGGAGGGAAGCTCCACTACCAGCAGAGCTACAGCAATTCTGAATTCCCTTTGATGCAAGGGAAATTCTGGGCTTGAATGAGACAGTGAGATCCATCAAGCTCAATCCTTTCTTTGCACACACCTAATGGAGGAAATCTTGCCAAACTAAAGCTATAAGTTTCTAAACTACTAGATATAGCTCAAGAGATTCTAAGGCAGTGATGGCTAACCTTTTTGGTGCAGTGCTGAAAGTGCATATGAGCACACACCCCATAATGCAATGCACGTGCGAACCCCATGTGAGCCCCATCCCCCACATATGCACATGTGACCAACCCCATGCATGCGAGCATGGGACCCCCAAGTGCACCCCGCCCCGGTGCATGTGCGGCAGAGACCCGAAAACCAGCTAGCTGGCGGGAGATGAGTGTGCATGCATGACGGACCTGAGGTGACAGCTCGTGTGCCCGCAGAGAGGGCTCTGCATGCCACCTGTGCCGTGCATGCCATAGGTTCACCATAAAGTGTCTAGGGTGTGGTTGCCTTGAACCTCTCCTTCTCATCCTCCCCCTCACCCCCTTTGGGACTGTGGAGTCTCTTAATCCAGATCTCTCTCTGGGAAAGCTCTGTGTTGTCAAAATACTCTCTCTTTGCTCCTGCAGGTCTACATTCCATCACACAAATTGGTACTTTAAAGCTTCTTTTTCCCCTTTCAATTAAAAGGAATAAAATTAGGACAAAGGGCTTATTTGGTCAAGGTTGGATCCACACGAGTGCTGTGGGGGGATTATATGGGTGCTGTGGGCAATTAAACAATGCTTGAATACTTCTATGTTAAATAATACTTGGATAAAACAATGTTTAGACTATTCTTGGAATCTTCTAGAAATGTGTACTGAGGATATGTTCTATCCTCCCAGAATTGAAATCAACTTAGAACCTTCTTACACCCATTACCTGGATCATCTTGTTTCCATTCTTTCTTATTTTTCCTTTTACCCAAGCCTATTTTAACCTGAAGCGAGCCTTCGTTGTTGTTTTTTAAAAGTAAACCAAGTATGGAAACATACAACTTGGAAGCAAGTGTTACCAGGTTTGTCTTAAACCATCTGCCAATCTTATGGCTTTTTATTTTTTTAAAAAAACCTCTACAGAAGAGCTCTTTCTCAATCTGTGGGTTGAATCTCAATGCCATGATTCAAGAAGGTCATGAGAACTCAAGTCCAACCGTTTGACAGACACTGCATTGAAGAAGGCAAGAACAATGAAAGAAATAACTCCCCCTGGTAGTTCAACTTCACCTCATCTGGTAGATCTGCGGAGATGTCATCATCAAGCACCCTAAAAAAAAAAGAAAGAATACTTAGAGACACCAATGCTCTTGTAAAATAGAGAAGACATGGGAAACATTTTACTCCTACTGCCTTCTATTCAGAGATGGATGCAACTGAGATCTGATGTATTAATGTGTGCCCAGTGGCTTATTTTTCCTCCAAGTAAACTCTTAATATCCCAGGAGATTTTCAGACAGAAGGCACAAAGCCTAAAGCCTACTTATAGGTCTGTGGAAAAAAAAAAACCTAATATTAGAGGAAGGTCATAAAGCATGGACTCACTCTGTGTCTGACTGTTTCTCTGTGAAGACACGCAGGATGAAGTCTGCTTCTTTGTTAGGCTCGAAGGTAGAGGGAACTATGATGTATTCACCAGGTGGAAGGCGAATGTGATTGCTGACTTCTCGCAAGTTGATGAAGGTCTCTGAACGTGCTTGAGATTGGTTCCTCAGAAAAAAGTCCTTCTTCAGATGAACGCTTTGACAGCCCTGGGCCTAGGAGAGAAGTTGTTCAGGGATTCTGTACAGCTGTTCAACCATCAAGGTACCAACCAATATATGCGTGTGTATATAACCACACTCACACACAACCCAAAAGCACAAAGGAGAAGATACAAGTCAAAACACTTTTCTTGAACTAAAAATAGGTACCTACACACCCAGAGTGTGTTTTTACAGAGGCAGGCTTCTGTGCCCCTTTAATAACAACTGACTCTTTTAAGTTTCAGAAGATATACAGCATTGAATATCTTAATACACGTAGCCATCAAAGTAATTGTGGCAAATTATGATGGTTTCAAGTAAGAGGAAAGCACCCTCATGAGAGATGACTATCTGCATCTCAAACAATTTCAGTCAGCCATTTTCCACCTCCACAAACAGTTCAAAAAATGGATTGGTAGAGCTCAGGGTATACCTCTTCAGGAACCTATGGGGAGAGAGAAATAGAGAGAGGTAGAAAGATTAGGAACAAATTTCCGTAAGCTGTGCTGCAGAATAGGAAAACCAGAAAATGATTTGGTGTTACCTCATAGACGGCAAAGCCAATGGTGTGCATGTCTCCTCCAGCGTGGCGCTCTTTTCTTCGATGTTTTTGCATCAGAGCCACTAAGAAGCTGCATGCTACTTCATCATCATCTGGGTCATCATCTTCTTCTAAAAGCTTGATTTTGAATTGTGGATTAATCCAGAATGTAGCTGCAAGACAAAGGGACAAGTGTAGTGAATCTTAGTACCAAATCTAGATAGCATAACTTAAAATGAGTAAGATCCAGAAAGATCCAAGTCAAAGAATAAAAATCAATGGAGGAAAAGAGAGCTGACTTTCAGACTTCTACCCTCTCAATAGGGTCAAGATCGTCCTCTTTTTAATCTAATTGCATGTGATGTAATCCTCAAATTACGAATATAATGGAGCCTGCCAATTACATTCGGAACCTGAGGATTCATTGGAATGAATCATGTCAAAAAAACGTGATCACTCCCGGCCACGCTAGGTGACTTACCTTGTGAAGATCTAACAAGCTGTCTCCTCTCCAGCGGTTTTGCCTGCTTGCAGTCTCAATGTGAAAAGGGTTTGCAAGCTGATGGGACTTTGGAGCAGCAAAATTGCATTGCTTCAAGCCTATTGGTTTGCAAATGTTTTTCGTGCCAAGATTAGAAGCTTCTGGGGGCCGTGATCTCATTCAAGCCCCCAGAAGCTTCCAGTCTTGGCATGAAAAGTGTTCACAAGCTGACGAGACTTGAAGCAACACGATTCTGCTACCCCAAGTCTCATCGGCATGCAAACGCTCTTCAGCCAGATCTGGTGCAGGCCTTGGTTCATCAAGAATAGAGGCCTAAATATCTCGCATGATTTTGCACTACTTTAGGCTTCTGTTCTGCATGAATGCACTGAAGCAAGCAAAGGAACGGACAGCTCACTCGATCGTCACAAGGTAAGTGAGTCTCCACAAGCCCAGTTCCTGTGGAGACCTGCCCCAGGGAGTGGGGGAAGGAATAGGCAGGGCAAATGTTACAGTGCCTCTGTGGTTATTCGTGTGAACGATTGCCATGGTCCTGCAACATTCATAACTTTAAGATTGTGTCATAAATACTTGAGGAGTTATGTCATAACTTCGAACGGTGGTAAGTGAACGGTTGAAACTCAAGGGTTATATGTAGCCTGTAGTAATCCATCAAGTATGAGACAGAGAAGATAGAAGAGTAAGTAGAGAAAATCTCTATTACCTGGATGGTTTCTGCAGCCTCCAGCTGTACTGCCCCGTCGCCAGTTTCCTTCAAATAATGTAGTGTGCCATTTCTTTGTATCCGCCGCTGTCAAAGCATCTGGGCTGAGATTACAGATCTCAAGTCTAGAAAACTCACGCATAAAATCTCGAAAAGCCATCCTGAAGGAGCAAAAGACATAGTAAGAACAATATCAAAAGCAGATATGATGGTCTCAGTGCAACTTTACAGCAGAAGAAAATAATCAGTGCAGTACTCTAAAACTGTAATAATAGTTCTGCTGGACCAGGTCAAAGCCCATCTTAGTCCCTCATTTGCTTTTTCACACTAGCCAACCAGGTGCCTCCTGGGTGTTTGCAAGCAGGAAGTAGAAACATAACTTTTTTCAAAATTATTCCCTTGCAATAGGTTTTGGAAAGCTTACTTCAGGATACTTGCATACTGTGTGAAGCAGCGTTTCTTTTATCTGTTTTAAATTTCCTTCCATGCAGGCACCTGGTTTCATTGAAAAAACTATTCCCTGCTTATATTTTCCAAGCCACGTGTGATTTTATATAGTTTAATCAAGTTGCCTTTATTCCAAACTAAAAAATTATAAGCATTCTAGTCTGTCTTTAGAAAGTATCCAAGTCTCCTTATTGCTTTAGCTGCTCTTACATACATCTTCCAGCTCTATTGTATCTTTTTCAAATACAGTGATCAGAATGTATTCCAAATCAGATAGAGCATAGATTTGTATACTGTTGACTTTCATTTTTAATTGCTTTTCTAATATACCTAGCATGGAATTCACTTTTCACAGCTGCTGCTTATTCATTCTGTCCTTGCGATACTTTCCCTGCAGATAGCTCAGTTTCCATCAGTATTTTTTTAATTTCTCCAAAGTGCACTTTACTTACACTGAACTGCATTTATTACATGGTGGATCATTCAACCTATTTAAAAAGATGGTCCTGGAGCTTTTCACAATCAATTTTGATATTTATCGCCTGAACAGTTTAGTATCATACAAAAACTGGACCGATACATGTACAACAAGATCAGGAGTACTTCCATCCACATGTCTGAAGATGCTTGGAACATTAAAAAGCTGATGATGCAGTGTTTACTTTTGCAGTCTGATTTTCCTTCATAAAACTCATTTGCTGTCATTATGGTTGGCTGGAGTGTCAGCCAGATATTTAGGCTGAATTTGGCATTTTTATCTACTTATTTACAAGTATTTGTACTTCATAATTTTCTCCAGTCTTTTCTCTTATCTCCTGTTGTCTTCACCTACTGCCTCATCCACTATTCAGATGTGTTTTGTCTTTTTTATCAATAGTTGTAAAATCTGGGATGTTAGATGCAGATGCTTGTCTGTGTGACTTCTAAAGCCTCAGAGTACTTTAATTTCTTCATTTTCTATGGCTACTTACTCATGTTATTTTTAGGCACGATTATCCAATCATGAAGTGAGGAGTTGAATGTCTCATTGTATTGTATTAATACAAGCTATATTCAAGGTGGTCTTCCTTCTCTTGCAGTTTTCTAAAATCATCTTGTCAATTAGATCTTTTGTTCTTCTGCCTTTTGGACAGTTTCCTTTCTGCTCAGTGGGAAAGAGCTTGTTTTCAATAGATGCTATTGCTTCCACACCAGTCAGCAATTTGAAAGTTATCAGTAAACAGGTAATTGGCTTGTTAAGTAGGTTTGCCAGATGTTAACCAAGCAGATGTTTCAATTTAAAATCATTCAGTTTTGCTTCACTTGGAACTGACCAATTCTACATCTTCCCTGTTCTTTTCACTACCATACCTAGTATTTATCTATGTTTTCTTTTGGCTTCATTGGGGCAGTCTCTTTATTGATGGATTGGTAAAAACATTTCTGATTTGACTGAAATTGGCAATTCTGCTTATAATGTGCAATTCCAACTTTGTATCTACTGATCTTGGCTATAGTTATTATTTGTTATTTTACTATTTATGGTGCTTCCTTGTTTCTAGGTAGTACTTCTTGATCAGGTATTCTTTGGGATTCTTATTCTTCAACTTTTCTTCTTTCATCCATTCTAGTTTGCTAGCATCTGATTTTGGCTTGCTGATTTCAGTTTTTATTTTGGTGCATTGATTGGTATTTTTTTCTTTGACAATTTTGCATCCTAGGGGTTCAGTTGCAACTGCAACAGTGCTGTATGTCAGCTGCTTTGATTCTTGTAGTCAGCTGTGCTTATATTTGATATTGCACTATTGACATCTTTAATATTTGTGCTAGGTGTTTCTTTTGGAATATGTTTCAATGCAGACAACCTTGTTCTGTTGCTTTGACACTGTTTTCTGTGCTCAGTTATTCTTTATTTCAATTCTTTTTTAGTTAGAAAACTTTGTTCTTTTGGAGAAGGCTGAAAACAGTTCAATAGCTATGCAGGCTTCCTCTACTGTATTAATGGATCTAATATAAAGATATTTTAAGAAGCAATTATTCAGTCTTGACTTCTGCTGTACATATTGCCAAAGTTTTAGGAACGTTTAAGATACATGTGTAGCACATAGAATTGGCCCCTAGATTTTGGAACTTACCAGAATTCACCATCTTCCATCTTCAGTTGTAATTCATCCTTCTCATCAGGATCTACATCATTCCATTCAGAAGAGCTAAAATGGCAGCAAAAAAGGCAATTATGCTATTATACTGCTGCTCTACTTCCAATTTTAGCTGTGAACATTACTACTAAAGAATAGCAAATGGCTAATTTAAAGAGTTGGAAGCTCAGTGATATGCTGTAGTATATATTTTGTAAGAAAAAAAGTCACAGTCAATTCTGGGCATTTTCAAATGGAATTGAAAAAGATTCAATGTCATTGAAGGCTCTCCTTTCTAAAAATGTCTTTAAAAATTTAAATTTACAGTCACACATATGAACTGTTTGTATCAGAAACCATTGGACTGGAAATAACATAATAGGACAAAGTCACTCTCATGACTTGTGTGTTAAGAGAACATTTACAAAATCTATAGGTGACACAAAACTAAGATAGCTGATTAATTCTCTAGATGTAGAAGATCCCAAAGCATCCAGACAAGCTGAAGAAGGGAGCTGAAATTAATACAATTTATATTTAACTGGAAAAAAAAGTAAAATTCTACTTCTAAGTAGGAAAAAATATTCATCTAGGACAAAGATCTGGTTTGGCAATAGTACACGTGAAAGGGATTTTGCTGTATTTATTGTCTGTAAATTAAATGTGAGCCAGCAGTGTGGTGCAGTACTAAAAAGGCAAGTGCTATCTTGGGGGAATGGGGCATTAACAAAACCCAGATGATAGCAAGTAATTGTTTCAATCTACCCAAATCGGATCCCATTTAGCATACATTGTCCAATTCTGGTCACCGTAACTTCAAAAAGGACAGTTTGAGGGTTACTAGAATGGTGAATGGTCTGAGAAACAAGTCCTATGTGGAACAGTTAAAGGAAATGGGTAAGTTTAACTAGCATAAACTGAAGAGAGGTATGACAGGAGTGTTCATATAGGTGTGGGGTTATCACACAGAAGAAACAGACTCACTCGTTATTGTTAGGACCATCCTGCCAGAGGGTTGCTCCCAGTTCGGCCCAGATTAGGGAACCGGTAGTAGTGGTGGCGGGAGGCCCCGCCCACCCACCCAGACCCTTCTGCGCATGTGCAGAAGCATTGCACGCACGGAGAAGTGTGCCCGAACAGGTAGTAAAAAATTTGGCAACCCACCACTGCGTCCTGCCATCACCAAAAGTTAAAATATCAAGGAATAAGGCTAGTTATCAGGAAGTATTTTTTGACTATACAAGCTGTCAGTCAGCTGCCAAATGAAGTGTGTTCTTTACTATGAACTTTCAAACATGGTCATTTGTCAAAGTGGATCCTGCACAGAGCAGGAGCTGAACTTGATGTGTCTAAAGTACATTCTAACTCTATAGTTCTATGATTCACCTATCACTCCATGCGCCAGTCCACTCGACCTGACCCCAGGGATTCCTTATGCGAATTAGCTCTTCTTGACGGCCACGATACTCCACCTGTAAAATTTGAGACATTAGGCTGCATACATAAGTAATTAAATCCTTGAACTGATATTTGTAATTCCACAAAGAGAAACTTACTCCTTTAAATCCTGTGACTGAGTAGGCGTGACCTTTCACCAGTTTCTTGAAGGTAACTGCTTCCATGTCAAATGCACTTGTAATCTGAGAAAAAGGATAAACCACACAGCATAATAATTTTGGTGTCCTGATCCCTCCATCTATAATCAGATGGCATGAAATTAAAGCCACAGAACCAGCAGGAGCAATACAACTTCTTGATCGGAGAGACAACAGTCTGTACAAGAAAAAAAATACTCTCAAGATGGGCCAAAATTCCAAAGTTTAAGTAATGGCTGACTTTAGAAAAGACTTTTGCAGCTGGGAATAGGGAATGGCCTTGAAGGATGAGGAAGAATTGCTACTGGATAAATGGGGTTTAAGCCCAGACCAAGAAATAACAATGCAAAATCTCATGCTCCTCCCTAGTTCACAAAAAGATAAAAATGAAGGAGGGATAACCTATCCAGACTGCAATATTGTAGCTGTCACTATTAAAGTCATCCTGGCCTGCGCAGCAGCATTGGTTTCTCAGTTTGTCAACTTTGTTCCGCTGCCATCATTCATAATTCATGTGTATTCAATGTTGGGTTGTTGCAAAAACTTCTTCCAACTTTGTACTGTAATCCAGGTGAATTCCCAACATTACTTTAGCCCAACCAATTTATCCTAATTCCTAGAGCCAGGTCTTGAAATAGACCATGCAATTCCATCTCCTTTGCCATTTAACCATCTGTCTGTCTAACTCAGTGGGTCTCAACCTTCCTAATGCCGTGACCCTTTAATACAGTTCCTCATGTTGTGGTGACTCCCAACCATAAAATTATTTTATGTTTTCCGCATTTTTTTCAAAAATATGTGTTTTCCAATGGTCTTAGGCGACCCCTGTGAAAGGGTCATTTGACCACCAAAGGAGTCCCGACCCACAGGTTGAGAACCACTGGTCTAACTGGAGGCAATAGTGTTTATGTAGATTGGTTAATGTTTAATTCAGAATTTGAGTTTTGGGAAACAATATTAAGAATAGCGAAACAGACTTTTGCTTCATTACTGATACTGAGTTTAGCCCTCTGGATTTGCTCTAGCAAGTGGTTCAAGTTCTTTTAACTTTATATTATATCATGGCTAGAACGTTATATTCTTTCCCCCAGTTATACTCCATAACCTTCAGAGAATATCAATACATCATCTTTTACAGTGGGTTATACGAGCTATTAAATATACTAGTAGCCACCCACAGTTTAAAATATTTTAAAATATTTTATTATATTGAAATGACAGTGTGTATTCAGAGAATCAGTCTGGTGTAGTTAAGGCACTAGGCTAGAAACCGGGAGACTGTGAGTTCTAGTTCTGATGTAAGCACAAAGCCAGCTGGATGATCTTGAGTCAGTCATTCTGGATTGATTTTCAAGCTGTTACCCCTGAGGACGTGGACAAGGCCATGGGAGCCATAAGTGCCTCCACATGTGTGCTGGACCCGTGCCCCTCCTGGCTGGTTGCTAACAGCAGGGAGGTGACACGGGGCTGGATCCAGGCGGTTCTTACCGCCTCCCTTCGGGAGGGGTTCTTTCCCCCCGCTTTAAAGGCGGTGGTGGTGAGACCCCTCCTGAAGAAGCCATCTTTGGATCCAGCCGTTTTAAACAACTACCGTCCAGTCTCCAACCTCCCCTTCATGGGGAAGGTTGTTGAGAAAGTGGTGGCCTTTCAGCTCCTG